ACCAAAGCAGAATCTAGGTTTCTAAAAGTGCAGTATTTTGTATCTATAATATGCATTCTGTTCCATCAAGATGGTTTCATTATTATACATTTCATGAGCAGAATGGTCTTAAAAACCATTAATAGATATCAGCTTTCAGAGAATGATATAAAATAGCATCTCTCTTTAGCTTCCCTAAGGAACTCTCCTCTGAGTGCCACTACCTGACTTTTAACCCAGGTTCCTACCTGCTCGTTTGGTTTGCTGTGGCTGGCGGCAGCAGCAGAGGCCAAGGCTTCCCTGTGCGGATAAACTGCTGCACCTGGTGCTGAGTGGGTGAGCAGTGAGTGGTCCTGCCAGAGAGCAGATCACTGAAGTGTATCAAACAGAGAGCGGATGTGGTATTTTTCATTTTACAGACAGGGAAAGTGAGGCAAAAAGCTCCCCAGTTGCACATAAGAAATCTGTGCCAGGACTGAATTGAGGCCAAGAACTCCTGCTTCTCTCCCATTCTTCTGCACGATAAGGCTGCTGCTGCTGTGGCCTCTTCTGGAGTTTATAACGTTACCAGCAGAGGTAATTTATTTTGTTAATTTAAAGCTTTGAAGCCTGGGTTGAGGTCTAGAACCCCAGAGGACACAAGGAACACGCAAGGAACACGCAGCCAATATACCGGAGGGAATAAACCACACATGAACAGAAAACCAATAGTAAAGAGGTGAGAACACCAGGCAGCTAAGTCACAGTCGTAAAGCCAGAAGACCCTGTCCTTTCCTCAGCCCCTTACCAATTTTTGTCAAGCTTTTGCAGACACGGGTGGCAGGGAGGAGAATGTGTGCATGGCTTTAAAGAACTCTTGACAGAGAACAAAGTCATGGTTTGGTGCTGGCTTCCTGAGAGCCCCTGGGGAGAGCACGGGGTGGAAGCAGGGGAGAAGGCAGGAAAAGGTCCATTTGAAAGTCAAAGAGGTGACAGAAACTCCTACTAGATGTGTATCAGCAAGTCACTGAGGAAGACAGGTGTAACTCGTGTGGCTTGTCTTCCCGCTGTCAAGGCTAAATTGCAAACTCAAGGGCTTCTGTCAGGATGGCAAGGGGACACTAAGGCCCCGCAGTCCTGTTTTCCTAAAGCAGAAAGCCTCGGAGAGGTTGCACGGCTCCACCACGTGCTGGCGAGGTCGCGAGGCCTCTGTTGGGTGTGAGACTGCAGTACGGTGCCGCAGGTGACCGATGGATAACAAAGAGCCTTCAGAGGACCCAGCAAGCAACCGTTTGGAGGGAGAGGAGGAAAAGTCAAGATAACAGCAATGAGACGTGCAAGAGGAACAGCAGCATGGTGGCAGCCAGTGTCAAAGGCAACAGGCCGGCCGAGGAGGAAGTGGTGCTGTTTGGAAATCAGCCAAGTTGTCACCCGCGGTATTTTATGATGATGCCCTGCAATGTGATCTCTGTTTACATTTTAATAGATCCATTTAGCAGACGCAGTGGCAGGATTCCTGCCAGCTCCATTCAACCAACTTTGTTTTCCTTGCTAATGAGCGCCAGTGGAAGGCAAGCACAGACAAGCAACTGCCTGTGCCAGTCCCACAGGCAGCTGTGCCTGCGTCTGGGGGAAGCGGGGCTCAAGTTTGTGCTTAGCTCAACTTCCCTCCCCCAAGGAAGGATTTTTGCCAAGCTCTGCCCTCAGACCTCTTTCCACTGTGCACCTGTATGCACGTGTCATATTACTCGAGTACAAACAGTCCCAGTAAAACACCGCAGAGCTCGGCCCCGCTTTCTCGCCCACTGCCCAGCCGCACACCTCTGAGGTCATGTCGCAAACGTCACAAATGACCCATTTTGCACAGTTCAGTGACTTGCAGCTGGGGAACCCTGAGGTGGGATCTGCTTGACAGAAACTCAAGGCAGCTCTGCAGACAGGGCAGTGCCTGCGCGACTGCTACGGCAGGTGGCAAAAAATTTCTAATTGTAGAGTGTGGCTCAACAGCAAGTGGTTCATGTTGAGCACAAGAGGCAGAAACCTGTTGGTAGAGAGAAAAGTCCAGGCTGTGATCCTATGTAGCCCTGAGATCAAGCTGAATGAGGCTTTTTACCTTGGGTGATGCTAAAGCAATCTTATTGGGTTTTTATTTGTGTGGTTTTGTCCTTAAAGAGCCAGAGGGGAGAGCATTAACAGCAAGTCTGAGTCATGGATATGAAGGAGATGGCGTGAACCGAGAGATCGTGGGGCACAGAGAGGCTGTCGCCTTCTGACCTCTGTTGCAGTTACTTGATTTGCCTGCTGTGCTCCCGTGTGGATTTTATAAACAGCGGTAGCTCTTAATACCACACACACTTGGGATAACAGCGTGAGGTGTGTGCAGGAGCCAAGGCTGGGCTTGGTTGCCATTGTTCGTTATGTAAGAAGAGATGATAGAGTACGTTTCTTTCATTTCACTTAAAATTGATAAACCCACGGAGCTCTCCTGCGCGTCTGTTTTGTTAGTAACAGTTTAGTCATATTGTAGTTAATGCTCTAAAGGCACTGACAATCTCTTTAAAATCTTCATTCTTAGAAACCAGGCTGTGATCATTCATATCCTCCATCACCGGAAGGTTGAAGATGTTTTTTGGTACTGTATTGGGTCTGGCTGAGATGGAGTTCGTTTTCCCCACAGCAGCCCTCCCGGTGCTGTGCTCGGCACTGGCGGCCAGGAAGGTGTTGGGAACACCCCAGTGTTTTGGCTGCTGCTGGGCGGTGCTCCCACAGCATCAGCGCTGTCTGTCCAGCATTCCCCCCTCAGCAGTCCGGGGGTGGGCACGATCCTGGGAGGGGACACAGCCAGGGCAGGTGACCCAAACCAACCAGAGGGGTATCCCATACCGTATGGCGTCTGCCCAGCAATAAAAACTAAGAAAGGAGGAGGAAAGGGGGCATTCATTATTACATTTGTCTTCAGGAACAACCAGTATGCCTACTGAAGCCCTACTTCTTGGGGAGTGGCTGGACATCCCCTGCTGATGGGAAGTAGAGAATAAATCTTTCTGTTTTCCTTGTGTCCATGCATGGCCTTTGCTTTTGCTTTGTTGAACTTTATCTTGACCCATGAGGTTTTTTCCATCTTATTTTGTTCCCCGCCCTGTCCTGCTGAGGAGGGGAGTGACAGAACAGCTTGGTGGGCACCTGGCACCCAGACAAGGTCAACCCACCACAAGTAGGCATTTAGGTTTTTCCCAAGCCATGGAAAACATAAGAAACAAACCCTAAAACCTTCTGAAAAATGTTAATTGGGAAGCAAAGTCACATACTGTCTTTGTCTCCTTTGTATACTTAAATAATGTGAGAGAAAACCTCCTCACGGAACTGCAGCCCTCACCTCTTGAGCTGCTCTCAGATGGGGCAAGGGCAGCTGTTGCCCCTTAACAAAATTGTACAAATCCCCTGGTGTTACACTGCCTCTGAATGCTTTGTAACATTTCTACTATATTTGTATATTATAATGCTTTGTAATAAAATTATACTCTGGGGTGTTTGGGGCATACCAATGCAATCCCAAGTGCTTCAGTCACTTCTATCAGTGGCAGTATTGGACGGGGCCCCTTGCTGAGGCAACTGGCAGGAGCCTCCCCTGTGAGAGAAGGTGGTGGTGGTGTTACTGTATCACTTGCACCATGGACCAGCTTCAGACTGTGCTTACTGAAACTTTGGCCCTGGGATGTTGGAAATGAAATAAGGAGTTTTTCCAGAAATAAAACAGGGTTGGTGAAGCTGGCAGCTCTCCCAGTGAGACACAAAAGTGAGACTCAAAAATAACCCCAACACTAGTTTATTGTCAAAATTAGACTCTCATCTAGAGGGCATTTTTGGTGTTCTGTAAGTGGGGTAGTGGTACCACTGGATTTTACACTTACTATGTAAAAGAAACTTACCTAATGTGTTTTTCATCTGGGACTAAGAATTTCCCAATTTCTTCCTGTCCTTAGCTAACTTAGCCTGACCCGGATCTTGACTTAGCTCCATAAGACAACTTTTTCATTAATTTCAACATTGTCTAAATGTTTGGAGTAAAAATTTGTATTTCAATGTCTTCCCTGATGTTTGTTTTACCCTTGTTTCATTCTTACTGAAGTTTTGCATTTGTTGCTTTCTCCATAAGGAAGCAAAGAGTGAGTGCCAATATCATTACGTACCTGCAAGTTGTAAATCCTTAGTTGTCTTGCAATGTGCACGTAGCAACACAGCCTGCATTAGTAATGTAGAAATATACACAACAGACTGAACTCTACAAATAGTTGTCAGTTCCCTAACTTATGGTGGTTTAACTCAAATACAGTATATAATACAGCTTGTGTACCACTGAAATCTACTTACATAAGAAAAACCTCCAGCATTAAAGATATAAAACTTAGACTTCAGCCATGTTTAAAATTTCTTTTGGAACAGAGGCTTCTGTAGATACATTAGAATTAGTGGTAAAATTCATTAACAGCAAGAATATAAGTATCTAATCCTGCCACACATTTGTGAGAACTGCTGAATTCAGGTTGGGTGGGATGACTACAGAATGAGAGTCCTGTCCTAAACTCATCAATATTTTCCTTGCAGAAGTCATAATGTAGAGAAAAAAAAAAGCGACCTCCCCCATCCCCTCCCCTGCAGCATGTTGTGGTTTATGTGTGTATATTATAGAAATCTATTCTTTGTAGAATTATTTTCCAAATAACATTAAAATGATAGGAAGCTTACAATCTCTCTGAAGCACATGTGAGCGTGGGCCATCTGAAGACAAAGTGTCTGCCCTGTTCTGAGGGGTACGTGCTGCTTTGGGACCTTAGGTTCAGATATGATCCCTTAGAAAGTACAAGCTTGGCTCCATGGTCTCTCCTCCACAAGACCCTGTAGTCCTTCACCTCTCCTGTGTGCTGGAGAAAACCACAGAAGAGACGACAGAAGGTTGCGAAGAGGCTTCTTACCCCTCCTTGAACAGCCTGTGAGTGCTGCAGACTCTGCTCTTCAGTTAATGACTGCATATAGGAATAAAATTTAGTAATAACACTATTTATTACAATAATCAACTTATGACAAGATGAATGCCCGGGAGCTGAAATGGGACATAAATAAAATTAGAAATAAGGTACATTATGATGGCAGAGGCCAGAATTAACCATTCCAGCAACTTGCCTCCACCCATGCAAGACCACAGCACTGGAAATACTAAAATGAAGACGGGATTTTCTTTACAAGAAATGACAACTACTCATTTACTACAGCATCATGTTTAAACACTGATAAATATTTTCTTTTTCTCTCTTTAAAGTCATTTCACAGACAAAATTCAGGAGAATGGATCTTTGCACTCTTTAGCTAGGAATATTAACTTTCATTGAATTCTTCTCCCTTCTCTTCCCCCAGGTTAAGAAATTTTCACTCTTCTTAATTAATAATTCTCTTAAAGGCATCATGCCTTCTACACGCTCATACATTCTCAGCTTTCCTTAATTTGAAAGATTAAATGTTTGAACTTCAAATTCAAACACTTAAAAAGATGAAACCATCTCCCTTAAAATGCCTGTGCTAGCCTGACCTTTCTAAATCTGGCTCCGAAGCGACACTTGAGCTGTCAGCAAGGCTGGATTGTTTCAGGACGGCGTGGATACGGTCCATGCTGCAGGTGCAGCTCTGTGAGGGTAAAGTTGCATTTGTTTAGTGTCTTTGTCTTAGGTTTTGAGTACTTTTCACAATAAAACTACAGACAAGCTCTTCTGCAGAAAGGAAGGAGCCAGAGGAGCAAGTTGGTTTTGCAACCGCTTCCCTGTCCACTTGCTTGCCTTGATAGCAGCACGTCATGTAAGCATTAACAGCTCTGAATGGATGTTGGAGGGATTTGGTGAGTACCAAAAGAGCAACTTGCATAAAGAAGTATTGGAGCAATTACCAAAGCAATTTCTGAGGAAGATGCCATTATTGTTAGTAAAGACTCTCCACATGTAGGACAGTGTCACTCTTAAGCAAGAAAGCTCCCGGTTTCACCTTCCAGAGCAGAACCAGGTGCTCCACCTGGAGAAAGAAGAGACATCCTTATTTAAGCAAATACTCTAGAGACACCTTAACATTACAGCCTCCTGCTGTTCACTGCCTTTGATAAGGAACTGAAGGTAACACCTCAAATTTGGCTTTCAGAAGATGCCTGTCTGTGCTCATGGTGCATTTTCCATTTGTTTAGCTCAGATGCATCATTTATCAATTTTCAGGAAATACCTGCAAAGCTGCCATAACTTGGTGCATCCTGGGACATAGGAATGACCAGAAGCCAGTAAAGGATGGTACAGGGGACAGTTGTTTCATCTTTAGAATGATGCATAAATACACTGAAGGTTTTTAACTTGCATTTGTAACTCAGCCGAGAGCAGCAGGAACAAAGATATATTTAAATACATACTTATATATTTCATAACTATATTTATAAGGTGTTAAAGAACAACAAAATTACGGGCAAAAATGATCCTGAAACAGGAAAGAAATAAGCCATTCACAGGAAGAAGAGAACTATGAGATGGGAGAAACTTGGCTGCTAAATTGTGTATTGCACAGTGAGGCACTGAGTGGTGTTTTTTTACAGTCTAATACATGTATGTTTGACTATGGTATTTTTGCCCACATTTCCTCTTAAGTTAAGCGCTGCAAAGAAATAGTTCTGGTTGAGCTAAAAACAACGGAGAAATGGATGGTATTTCTAGAGGAAAGGTATTTTTCACTTACTGGGAAGGTTTGAGAATTCTGCTTGCAACACTATTGGCCCTGATTCCTCTCTCTTGTTTATATTTTGAATTTTCAAGTCACATACTGAATTATGCCAAGTGACAGAAGGGAAAAAGTCTGTGTGGAGCAGAGTCATGCTCCCATGAGGAACCGGCTTTCTTGGCGTATCGGTGTTTTCAGGCACTAGTGACCTTCTGAGCGAAAAATGGAAAAAAGAATCATAAGCCAGATTTTCAGACAGGAATCCACAATTAAACACATTTGAATATGCCTTATTTACGCTCGTAAGGAGTCATTTGTGTTTCTCTTCTGAAAAGTGTGAGCCTACTGTAATCTTAATAGCCACACAGGTTGCTGCCCTCTTCAAGGGCTTGATTAACTTGACCTTGTTTTCTTCCTTTCTAGCAGTGAGGTAGCCCCTGACTGGGTAGAATAGATTTTGGTCAGCTGTAAGGCATGCACAGTCATTCCAAGTTAATGGGGCAAAAACATGAGCTAGAGGTAGGATATACAGATAATGCAGGATCTGTGTATGAATATGAAGCAAGAAGGCAAGAGGCTGAGTGTTTACTAATGGCTTCTGGCAGCATCTGGTTTAGGCTGTGATTACAATTAGCATTTTCATATGAAACTTCTCTCCCACTTAAACTTTGCAAGACTGTGTATGTGGCCCATTGCTTCCTAATACAGCAAGCATCTGTAGAAATCATGTATGCTCTCATATCTTGTGTTACACTTGAATCCAATTTCCTGGGTGAGGAATAACTGATTTTGATGCCTCATTTGACCACTGGTATAATTAATGATGTTTTTACTCAAGCACACTTGTGCCAGAACCATCATTTTTTGTACAGGTAAAAAAGCTAGTCTGGTTTTGTAGTACATTGGTTTATACTATTGTTCAGCTTCCCAGATGAGAAAGGAAGTCTACATACATAAACGTGTCTTGCTGTACTAGGAAAAATGGTTCATGGATGCTTTTGCTGAGTTTGAAAAACTCAGTGGAAACTCTGAAGAGGCACAGCTTTGGTAAAAAACTGCAAAAAAGAAGGCAAGAAGTAGATACAACTTTGTGGTTCACAGTTTATTTAAAAACACCTGCAAGGGGGGGGAAGTACAAGCAGTCCTAAAATCTTTCTTCTGTATTAAAGAACAAAACCAAGACCTGGAATATCGCAGTTAGCAAAATATACTAAATTATTGGCAGAGTTCAATGAATGCAGGTAGTCCACCTTATTTTAGTGGTTATCCTTCTGTGGCCAGGATACATGGTAGGACAAAGTAAATGGAAACTCCCCTGTATATAATGGAAAATGTTGATAGGTTGTTTCTTTCTGTAATATTGATTTTTCTGAGCACAATCTTTTGTAAAAAAATTACCATCTCAAGAAACTCTCTGGCTGGGTATACCAGTGTGAGAGACAACAGCGGGATGTGACAACCAGTCAGTGACACTTAGTCCCATTAGTGGGAAAATGGACAAAACCACCTAGGGAGTCCCTCTTCAAGGAAACAGAAGAAGCTGTTGGAAGACAAGCTGAACAGAGTCTCATCTCTTACTCGAACTAGTTAGAGATTTTCACCAAGAGTGTATTCTGTTTAACCACAGAAAATCTACTCCAAGAGGACGTTCCCATTATGGGGAGTTACACAAAAAATATCATCGTGACCAGAGCGCTGGTGAGAGACCAGTATAATCACTGGTTTCACAAGTCTTGCCTCCTGAGTCACTCTGAAATGACCAAATAGTGAATTGATGGGCAAGATGGCTAATGATAAAGTGATAGAGTGCAATGCACGTGGTACAAAATATCTTAAAATACAGTGAAATTGGGCTTAATAATAGTTTGTTAAAAAAACCCAATGAATTGTAAAGGAAATTGAAAATGTAAATAACTTTGGTTTAGGAAATAATGATGACTTGATGGGTTTCGGAGTGTGACCAGCCGATTGGATCCTTAATGAAAATATGCATTTGAGAACGGCTGGGAGCTTTCTACATTGGTATGACAGAGGAAATTCCCCATGATATATGCCGACTGTGTATTAGGTTTTCATGAATCAGAGAGGCTCTGGCTGATGAAGGTACATAAGGATAGCTAATGCTAGACTAGCTTGCACTCAGCCATTTTTGATAAATAGTGTATTTGGAGGAGAAACATCAGAAATTTCCTAATTCTTCAGAATTACTTCCTAAACAAATGGCATAATTTTTAGGGCCTCTGACTGCAACAGAACAGACGTGCAGCCCATTGAAGATCATCCATGCAAAAAAGTTAGTACAGAAGTTCTAGAAGAATGCAAGGTCTTTCAAAAGCTTTTTCCTCTGATGCTTAATATTCTGACATGCAATGAAAGTGGGGACAAGCAGCTGAGACCAAGCCTGTGATTCACTGGAGAAAAGTTTTTCAAAAGAAAAGATGAAGCTCACTCCCAAAGTACCTTTTCCCCAGGACAAAACACCCTCAGCATTGTTTTTAAGACTTAGTAGAGACTACTTGCCTGGAGTTGCAGCCAAAGTATCTCCCTTCTTGTTGCCTCTTTTTAGGAAAAAAAATGAGATGGTAATGGGTCCCTGAACAGACACGCATGGAGAGTCAAGTCTCAAGCTGGCATTGTTGCTAATTCACTCAGGGAATTGAAGTGCTCTTGATTCAAGAGACAGTGCTAAGCACAGACAACGTCAGTGTACTGCTGCTGCAGGGAAATCAGGCTGCAACATGTGCCTGTGGCGTGGCTCCTGAACGTTAGCTGAGGTAGAGAAAACGTACACCACCTCCTACAGATTCTACCAGTATCCTGAGCAGAGACTGGCTCTGAGCAGTAAGGTGAAACCCAGTCATACTAAGGAATACCATCCATCTCCAAAAATATACATATTCTCAGGGAAAAAAAATAAACACACAAAGATTCTAACAAACAGAAATACTGCACAAAGGACCTTTAGGCTTGATGATCAAGGACTTCCATGTGGAAGCTGTTAGTCCTCCTGCAACTTTGGATGGATCACCAATAAAGGGTATGCCCCATTCCAAAAAGCAAGAGGGTCTGAGCTATGAAGAGTCACCACATAGGATGGATTTGGGCTAAGCTGCTCTGTGGCTGGATCAGTGTTCCCACCTACAATAAGTATACTGGGTTTGGATTCCAGAAATAAGTCTGTTGCATGGGAAATGTGAGCCATCCTATTCAGCACGGTTTGTAAAAGTAGCAGCCATCTGCTGGGGTTTATAGAAGGCTGAGAAACACAGGATGTTTACTTTTATTGAGATGTGCGATGGATGTGCCTTGTATGAGCAGACTTGTTACAATACTGATAAAACAACTGGGACATTAAGCTCAAGAGAAAAAGCTTGTTTTACATACTAAAATTGAACTTGAGCAAGATAGAAAGCGTCACAAACATACATGCACATATGCATATACATAATCATGTAAGTAAAGGCCAGTAGAAAACAGGTCAGACAGAAATTCCAAACAAATACGACACTAACTTTGAGACTAAACTGACTGCTTTCTGAGGTGCTTTATGGACACCACTCCCCAAAAATATAATCTACAACAGGTAAGATAAGGAAGAGACCAATTTAAAAATAAACCTACATTGTGAAATTACAAGCTGATATTTAGATAAACTCATCTGAAGGGGATTTGGCATTACCAACAAAACTGAAACGTGGGTGCGTACAGCGCGAATCCGAGACCTCTAAAGATGAGGCAGAGGCAGTCCCTTATCACTGACAGTGATCAGCAAGACCACATGAGACACTTGAGAGGGAACTGGGCTCGGGTGCCTTTGACTACAGGAAAATGTCATCCACAATGGGAATAACTTCCTGCTGCTGCAAATGTTAACCACCAAAGGGAAAAAATTCCCATGGGAGTTCAGAGGATGCAAGCAAAATTCTGCAAATGCTAAGAAAACAAATCCAAGAAGTAACCAAAGATGCAGATGGAGACGCTGACAAACAGCATTAGCAACAGCTAAGGTTGTTTTTGCCAACAAATGAAAAAGTTAAGTATAGTAACTCAAATAAAATTAAACATGTAGCAGCAATAGATGGCCTACTTTTTTTCACAAATGTCTCTTACCATTTTTTTCCCCTGAAGGTAATGAGCATTTTTGTAAATCTCAATTGAAAGCAGACTACCTTACTTATATTTCTGTCTAATTACTTGAATAAGCAGATAACATTTCAGATGGTAAATATTTTTGCAACTAAAATAACAAAGAATTCTGCATACATGGCATTCTGGTTGAAATATCCTGCAGATGATCACCCACTGGACCAACACTA